ATGTGTACAACAACCATTTAAACTAAGTGGCATGAGAATTCTTTTGTAATTTTATTAAATCTGACTTGTGTAAAGAGACCAGCGACTGAAGATGATTTGCACATGCTAATAGATTATATGCTATAACAAAATGTTGCTTTATATCACTACTCCAGCAGCTGCAGTTTCAAGTATAGTTATTACTAGCTACAATATCACCCAGTTTAAAAAAAAAATCAAAAGAAGTTCATGCTATTGACTCATTTACTGCCATATTTATTATTCTCATTGAAAAATCACTAGACCTAATTCTATTGGTTTCCTTTCTGATTGAAAACATTTGAACTTAGAAAGCACAGTATTTCTTAAGACATTTGTAACTATTCATCATGGATATTAAAATTACAATCATGCTGCATTGTGTGAGCAATGATTTTTTTTTTTTAAATCTTTACACATATGGTAAGCGGGTGACCAATGCTATCCAGGTTTGAAGATGTTGAATGTTCTTATAACTGGCATTTGAAATTTTGATGTGTATTGCATTCGTTACTGAATATCAAGAATACATTTTTTTTTGCTCATATAGAGTAAATTTTAAATGGGGTCTTTTGTAGAAGCACCCATCCTGTTTAGAATGATATAACAGATGCTGAATGTTCACATATCAAACAAAATGCCAGCTTTCTGTAGAAAAGAGGTGTCAAAAAGTTTCTTTGTACCTTTAACGCATGTGATTATGTAGTACAAAATGCAGAGTTTGTAAAATTTCTTGAATATACAGGCAAAAAAATGAATAATTCAAAACAACTCGTAAGTTCTACATTCTATTGTCTGTTTATAACGCAGGCAGAAGATAGCAGTGCGCTCCCAATAGAGCTGAATTTGCACAAGTTACACCTCTGAAAATGCCAGATGGTCTATGGTCTACTTTTGAGAGCTGTCACATATGTAAAGATTTGAAAAAAGAAAGACAGCTGAATGAGAGCAGTGGATCATTAAAGGGAGAGCGAGGGTCCCTAGGCATCACTTGTGTTTTAAGAAGCATTGTGTCGTTTCCATATTAGTGTGCTTTTTTTTTTTTTAAAGCCATACACAACTTTTACACAGTAAGGAAAATAAATTTGTTTAAAACCAAGTGGTCTTGGTATTTTTGCTCTTTATTTGAAAATAAAATAATGTTTCTTATTAGCTCTTAATTGTAATTTTACCATATGATTCAATTCATACTAATAAAAAATTATCAACAAAGTTAATTTTGTCTTTTGAGATAAGTAATATATATAGGGCTTATCTAGTTTTGGTTTGACTTGTATACTGCATGCATCTGGCAAAGTCATTCAACTAAGAAATCATTTTCATGTTTAAAAAAAAACTTGACTAAAGTGATAATACTTGACTATCTGACCATAATACAAAGTATAGTGAAAATAATTAGGTGACAGTGAAACAAAAATACTGTACTACTATTAATCTGCCAAGAGAAATAGATATCATTCTGAAGATTGAAATACAGATAAATCATTAAAGATATGTTTGACTATCACTCCAGCCATACTTAGTAATTTGCAAATAGTCAACGTTGATAATAGAGAAAGGTCAATACTGTCGATTTTAGAATTTGAGGACACAATTGTCTTTTACCATCCTTATTCTTATTTATTGATAATGTTTAACTATCACATAGTAATTCTAAATTTATTTTGGATTATGAAATATGACAGGGCGTTTTTGACTGATAAGGAGTCTCCCAGCATTGGTCAATGACATTTCAACTTAATCAAGCTCTCAGATTGCTTATTATTCTTTTCAGAGGAAAAGTGGCCCAAAACATTCCATTTATTTGGTGAGATTACTGGAAAGTGCTTTGAAAAGAACACCAAATTAGGTTTAACTGTCTTTTTTGGCATCCTTTTAAATACATATGCATAACTAGCTTTATGTTCAATAGTAGTCATTAGAATGTCATTCTAGTTGATAGAAGAAGTTACAAAAGCAAGCAGCAAATTAATCTCTAAATCAAACGATTCCACATCCATAAGAAATAGGTCTTTTTTTACATATGCTTTGAATTGTAGATTTTGGTTATGAAATGGGTATACATAACTTCTAAAATGATATTTACTTTTAGGCAAATATTCCTCTTAATCACTTAAGAACTGAAAAATAGTAAGAACACTTTCTATATTAGTTTTATAAATAAAGTATTAATGCTAATAGATTGGTATGAAAGTATACTTTAGCTTGTAGAGTAAAAAAAGAATCTGTCCTTTTTTTTGAAATATGCACATTCATGAATAGAATATTTTGATATAAGATGTTTTTCTTCATGATACATGGAATATGTGAATAAGAACTGAAATAAACAATGGCATACTAAAGACATACTCAAAACTAAACTGTCTTATTTCTCAAAAATATGTCCCAAGTCTTATCTTGTTCTCAAACAACAGACAAAAAAAAACTCCTCTAAATATTTATCAAGCCCATGTGTATCTTTTGCAGATTTGTATGCAGTGCTTTTTGTTTTTTTTTTTTTTTTGAGTTGGAGTCTCAATCTGTCGCCCAGACTGGAGTGCAGTGGCTGCTCCCGGCCACCGCAGCCTCGACCTGCTGGGCTCTGGCGATCCTTCCGCCTCAGCCTTCCACGTAGCTGGAACTACAGGAGCGCGCTACCACGCCCGGCTAATTTTTTGATTTATTGTAGAGATGAGGTCTTGCCAAGTTGCCCAGGTGGGTCTCGAACCTGCGGACCCAGGCAATCCACTCACCTCAGCCTTCCAAAGCGCGGGATTACAGGGTGAGCCACCGAGCCCGGCTGCAGTGCTTTTTCTAAATGGAAGAGTTTTTCATAGTTATATGTAATTTATGTTTGATAATTGTATTAATCATAAGCAAAGTAATTCAAATAGCAGTTTTAAACATTGACCCTCCCGGAAAATAGAGAATAGTAAAATTTTCGCAGTGAGTATTTTTTGTTGCTGTGTTTTGGATTTATGCTGAACTATAATGATTTATAGCTTTGCTTAACATCTATAAAATGAAAGTAAATTATGATTTTAATAATAACATCATTATTTAACCAATGTAAACAGATAATGCTTGGGAAGTTTCAGGGCCTTTACCTGCAAAAAGCAAAATCTATCTTGACTAATTTACATAGAAAATGAATTTATTAGCAGCATATCGACTGTCCCTGAGTTACACAGCCAGGGATTATGTCCATTCATTCAGTAGGGCTTCTCTGATTCAAACCTCACTGCTGCACCACTGGGCCTCTACTTTGCTAGAAAGCGGACATCAGAAGTTGTCTCCCACTGCCAAGACTAACAAACGCCTCTTCACTGCCTGTGCTGAGAGGCTCTCCCTCCCTGGTGTGACTGACACCTTAAGTTGGTAACTTCTAAATGCAAGCCATACCTCAGCTTGACAGAATTTAGGTCACAAACCTGCCCTCTAGCTGCAGAGTAGTCTAGGAAATATACCAAGACCTGTGAGTGTTCAGAAGATCTGGGCAACACAAATAATGAATATTCACCCTGCTTGCTTTATGCCTCATAGTACAAAGAATCATATTTGTTTGTTCTTCATTAGTATCGTGCTATTAAAATAGTCTCCTATCTTTTTACTTTAAACTAAGGCATTTGACACATGTGGAACTTATTTGTAAGAGGTATGTGTGCATACATTTCCATATTTGGGATTCTACTGTTCCTTTAGTTTTATGTGTCTGTGCCTGGTCCAACATTATACTGCTTTAGTTATTGTACTTTTCTAGTAAGTCAAGTCCTGCAACCCTCTTTTTGTCTTAAAATTTCCTTGGTAGTTCTTGATTCCTCTCACATGTAAATTTTTGGATCAACTTGTGAAGTTTCATAAACAAGCTGTTATAGGCGTTATGGAAATTGCGTTAAGTAACGCATTGGGGAGAATTAACATATTAACATATTTATACGCTACTCATTTGGGTTTATTTTATGCCCTTCAGTAATATTTTGCAATTCTTGCCTTAAAATCTCTGCCCATTTTTTTTTCTAGTTTAATTCCTAGATATACTAGGATTTTTGAATGTTTGTTGGCATTTTTTTCTTTTTTGCTATTGTGAAGAAATTTTTTTTTATAGTTGTTAATTGGTTACTATTGGGGTATAGAAACACTGTTGATTTTTATATGGTTTATCAAGTGTAAATGTTGCTAAATTCTTTGATTTTCAGACTGTAGAGTCTCTTAGATTATCCTCAGAACATTTAAATTTATGTGCATCTCAAAAATTTTGTTCCTTATTTTCTAGAATTCAGATATGTTAAATTGCTTTATCTTGTTTATTGCTTTTACCAGGATGTAATGTTACATAGAGGGATGAAGGTGGGCATTTTTTGCTTGATCCCAACCCAGATGGGAATACATCTAATGGGCTGACATTTAATTTTGGTAGATATGTTTTATTAGATTAAGGAAGTTCTCTTGTATTCCTAACTTTTTTATAAAATGATTTATTTTAAAATCAAATTAAAGAATAAATATGGAAAATATTTTATTTCCAGGATTTTAGATGAAATTGGAAGACATCATATTTCTCTCTATATTGTCCAGCTTTCATTACCTGAATTCATCATTACTTTCCTTTTATTTCAAAAGATAATCAAGTAGTTTATTATAATTATTAGGGAAATTGAGATAACATGATTGTGTCTATTGCAACCAAAAGAGGGCCCAGCACATAGAAAATAATCAATATTTACTGACTAAGTATTAAATTACTTTTTCAGATTTCTTTCTTAAATTTCCTTTAAGACTACCCATACCAGGATTTCTCAGCTCTATTTTCCCTTTTAATAATTATGCTTTCTATGTGTCTTTGTCTGTTAATATGCTCCTTTCTTTTTTTCTTCGTTGTCTCTTCAGTTTAAGTAGCATGGGTACAACCTCAGGTTTGTTTGAGAATGTGTTTTCATTATTTAAAAATATAACTGTCTTTTTCTTAACTGGATACTTTTTTTTTTTTCTGTTTTTAAATGTAGCCCAACCTCAGAGCTTGCCTCAGCTTCAAACTTCAGCACAGGAACTGAGTGAGGAGGAGATAGGCCAGATAAGGAACGGCCACTCGAGTCTGAGCAATGGAAATGGAATTCACCACGGGGCCAAACATGGATCCGCAGATAACCGCAAACTTTCAGCACCTGTTTCTCAAAAAATGCACAGAAAAATTCAGTCCAGCTTGTCTGTAAACAGTGATATCAGTAAGAAGAATAAAGTAAATGCTGTCTTTTCCCAAAAGACAGGCTCTTCACCTGAAGGTAAGTTTGAGATATATGCATATTTTATTTGACCAGATGTAAAATCATATTCACTAGTAATTATCTGATCAAGCAAGCATAATTGAAGAGCATTTTGTATCCTTCAGACAAACAGGAGCTTTGGTAAAATGCAGTCTAACTTCCCCAAAGGAAAGCATAGGATAGAAAAGGAAGCATTGGCAGCTGACATCCTGATTTTTTTTAGACTATCTTCTTCTAGAGTGAATAGTCATTACTTTAAATATAACTGCTATACTTCTTTTTTTTTTAATGCCACATTTAAAAATATGAATACAACATTTTGGTGGCATACATGAGTGTGTATGTATTTTTATCCCTCCCTGATGCAATATGCTATTCTATAGTTCAGAGATAAGATTACCTGCTTGCATTTTCGTCTTGCCAATCAGTTCTTAAATATGGAAAGCTAAAGTGAAAGGCTGGATAATTGTCATGCCCTTGTCAGAGAATGGATCAGATGATTTCTGTTGCTTGACTGACCAGCATCTTCCAGCCACCCTGTGGCTACCACTCTGCCCCTTTCCAGCCTCACTGTGATCTGACTACCAGTTCCTCCTTTACAGGAATGTGACTTTGTTATCTGAACCTGTTATTCAGTTCTACCTCATCCTGCCCTTAGCTAGGTCAAAGTCTGGTTGAATACTATAAACATGAGAAGATGTGTCTTTATTCTAAAACAAACCCATGTAATGACAATTAACCTGCAACTCCTTTTACATGGTTCATTGTTTTATATTTTTTTAAAAAGAAAAATCTCTCCCCATATCTAGAGTTCCAGATTTCTCCCAGCATCTCCATGGTTCTTTGCTGCTCCTGCTATCTTCCTTGAGCAGTTCTTGGGCGTCTAAAACCTCAAATCTCCTATATATATATTCAATATATTGTTTTCCTTATTTCCTTTACCTTTTTATTTTGCCATGAAACCCTAAATAAGAGAAATTCTGTAGAATACCTCTGCGAAGTTAGCCATGCTTATTCATAGAGATAAATTGAGTTGTAAATAGGAAATTGTGTTGAGAGTTACCGGTAATGAGTGGGAGAAATGATAATACATTTTTGGCTACAGGTGTCTCAAACTCAACTGAGGTAAAGTGTTAGATTGATCAAATGATATGATAATAAACAGCCTCCATAGTTCCAGGTCAGTGACACTACTTTCCAAACTAATTAGATTGAAAGGGACTTGATTGACACTTTAAAATGAGTTTGACATGTAAGCTGTGTGGTCATCTCTGAAGCATAGGTAGGCTGTTAACTAAACTGGCTCTCCAAGGAGTTGGGAAGGCAATGCAATTTTCTTTAGAGGATCTTTGCTTCTAGGTGATTGGGTGAAATAATTGAATGCAATTGAAATCTACTTGTTTCATACATTTGAATTTACTTATTATGTCCCTAACCTCTTATTTTCCATTTGATATTTACTTATTTTAGTGTTAAAGAGTGTTAACAGTTGCATGTCAATCCTAACTTGAAATAGCTTATGGAATTTTTATAATTATTTATTATTGCTTGTTTTTAATACCATGTCTGAATTTATTTCTTATATAAGAATACAGCTTCATAAGTAACATATGAAGGAGAAAAATCACCAGTAAATGAATGAAATATAATTCTATTCTTCCTCTTCTTCTCCCTTCTCTCCTCCTCTTATGCAAACACTCAACTTATGGCTTACCAGAAAGATCTGCATAAGGATAAGGATTTTTTATCTGCTTTTATCACAAAATATGTTTCAGATTGGGTTGAGGACATGAGAAGTATGAAATACAAATGAATATGTTTAGATATCCTGTGCAAAGTTCTACCCATATCTTCACTGACAGGCTATAGAAGTTAGCCAGTTACAGTTTTCTTTAACTATGATTGCTTGAATCTAGAATAAAATTCCATTGTACATATTTTTCTCACAGTTAGATATCATCATGACTTTTCTCACTATTTAAGGTTGTGTCCTAAAATTTTCTGTTTCTTCTGACTTTCAGTTTTGAAGTTAAGTTCTTTTTCCTCTGGCATGTGCTGCAATAAAACAAAACAAAACAAAACAAAACTGATCTGGGAGATGGCAAATTAAAGGGAAAAGCACTCTTAACTTTGTCACCAGTGTGCTGGGAGACTTGGATTTCTATGGGCCTACTTTTTCTATAAAATGAAGAATTTGGATTAGGTAATTGTGATTTTTCTTTTATGGCAAAACTGCTTCTCTCTCAGGACAAATCTCTTGCTTTGCAAAATATGTGATCCCTTGTGAGGAGACCTAAAATCTGCTACACAGAAAATGGCAATGGCAGAAATAGTTTTGGTGAACAGAAACAGCGCCTGAATTTCAGGAAGCTTATATGTCAGAACAGTAGACCTTTAGCAGGCTTGATTTGTTGTGCAAATAAAAGTGGATAGAAATTATTTTTTAAAACCTATTATGATGGGAGGATTTAATGACTAGGTGCCTTAGTCCATTTTTGCTTCTACAACAAAATATCTGAGACTGAGTACTTGACAAAGAGTAGAAATTTATTTTCTCATTGTTCTGAAGGCTGAGTTCAAGATCAAGGTTCCTGTATACTAGGCTGTCTGGTAAAGGCTGCCCTCTGCTTCCAAGATGGTATCTTGTTGCTGTGGCAGAAAGCTGAAGGCTAGCAATCAAAAACCACATTAAGATTCTTTTATAAGGGCCTTAATCTTATTCACAGGGGAGGAACCCTCATGGCCAAATCCCCTCTTAAAAGCTCTACCTCTTAATACCACCCACATAAGCTGTTAAGTTTCAGCGCCTAAATTTTGGAGGGGTTGCATTCAAACCATAGCATTAGGCTTTTCTTAGATTTAAATTTTTCTGTTTCACATTTTTTCTGAGGTTTTTTTTTTTAATCATACATACCTGCTTCTCTGAAAGCAAATGAGCAAACAAATAGCAAAATGATATTAACCAAAAACATTAAAAGCAGCTAACCATGCCCGCCTTGACAATGTGTGTGATTTCTGGGTAAACGGTGCTTGTGGTTGTGATTTTTGTATTGCATATACATAATACTGACAACCAGAGAGGGGTTTTTCTGGTTCATATGATGGAAATAAATATCTTGTAGTCTCATAGTGTTTGATCAAGGCACTAAGAGGCCTCTTTGCTGACCAGATTTGAAATACTGCTAGAAGTGAAACCATGGCTTATAGTGAGGCAGAGATTAAACTGGCCACATAATTGAGCCTGCAGATTTGCAAAGTTTTTAAATATGTCTTTAACTGTGGGGTTCCTAAGGCTTGAAAACAAATAGACTTGTGTCTTATCAGACTCTTTGAGCTGTGTTGATTCATTTAGCTAGTGTGCCTTCTATGTGATGCTTGCTTCTTTCATTTGAACTCATTTAATCCTCCCAACAACCCCACCATTCTATGCACTATATGAAATCATCTAACTATAAAGAGGAAACTGAAGCACAGAGAAGTTAAGTGAAGCTGCTGAAGCCAACGGGTACATGGTAAAATCGAGATTCAAACCTAGATATTCTGGTTCTGAGGTCCATGCGCCTAACCTCTATGCTATTTTCCTCTTTAAAATTTTCTGAGAAAAGGGGCAACTTACTGGTCATTTCCACCTCTCATCAGATGCTAATAGTATTACAGATGTGGATCATGCAGGGATCTTATTAGTATATGAGTGGGGACCCAAAAGCCCCAGAATTATCTTTTGGATGGTTGGCCCGTTGTATTGCACGCAGAATTTTTCCTTCAGATCAGATGGTCAACCAAAGTTCTTTGAAGTTTGTGTCATGATTTGTGGAAGAAACATCCCATGTTGTGGTAAACAGGTGACTGGTTCTTCCACCATGACAATATACCTACCCACACTATGCTGAGATTTTAGCAGGTTTTGGTCAAAAACGACGTGATCCCCATGTCCCATCCTCCCTTTTCACTGAGTCTCACCCCAAACAACTTTTTTTTGTTATTTCTCTGGATGAAAAAAGACCTCAAAGGGAAATGTTTTGCCAATGTGAAAGAGGTAAAACAAAAAATGGCAGAAGCACAAAAAGGCATCAAAATTGATGCATTCAAAAACTGCTTTGAGTAGTGGAAAAAGTATCTCGATGGGTGTATTGCACCAAATGGTGAGTACTTTGAAGGTGACTGAAGTTTAAACATATAAGAATAAATACACAATTTTTTATAAATAAATTCAGGGTTGTTTTGGGTCCCCGACCCTTGTCCATTTGCTTTCTTCAAGTCCTTCCTTCCAAAATTTTAAAAACAACTCTCACATCCGTGCCCTGCTTGTTTTCTTCTTCCTCCTAGACTGTAAATTCTTAAAAAGACTGAACAGAATTTGAGTCATTTAAAAAAAAAAATTTACAGTGGTGCTTTGTGCTTCCCTTGAGTTAATATGTAAAACAATGCTGTTTTCCAAACCACTTTATCTTGCTCTTCTTTGAAACTAGCACTGGAAAATTAAGTGTGTGCTCATATTCACTAAAAAATGTTCTTTTAAAATGTTCCATGTTTTCAATAGAGGAAAAATACCCATATGGGAGAATATTGCACATTTTATTTAAAGGTTATTAAATTACTAGATTTCTACTTGTTTTGTATAATTAAATATTTTCATACATACTTTAATTTTCTGATTGCATCACTCAGGTGGAGAGTTTTAAAACTAAATGTTTAAGATTCTTGACCTTTGAAATAATTATAGTATAATTTAGTATCATATAATATTCAAATTGCCAAGGGTTTTCATTAGACTCAAAGATACTTTTCTTATCATAAGAATGGTAGTTTCTAATGTGTTTTAAGGGGTGATAGTTATAACTGTATATTTTTGTAAAAATTAAGTTTCAACAAAAATATTTTTGAAGAGATTTTGTACTTTTCAGAAATATTTGATAATCTATATTCCATACTTGTTATTCTAGATTTAGTATTTATAGAAAAATGCATAGTCAATCCAGCATATCACTGAACATAAATGCTGAACGAGACAATGAAGA